TTCTGGTATTTCAAATTAAAAGAAATATTGTAAGCCATCTTCCCATCTAAAAATACACTCAAACCATTCTGCCATTCTATAAAGTCTTATGCCCTTTCTTTATCCACTTCCTCTGTGCCAGATATTTTAATATGTTTTGATTATGTCCCGCATCCTTCTAGTCACTTTTCCTTTGAGCTATTTAACATGTGCCTGTTCATGTCAATTGGGTAGTTGCATTTTTCAGTCTAGATGGCAGGCAGTCCCAGGCCAATGAATTCATAGGCCCTGTTTCAGATTCGATCAGCAAGGGCATAAGACTTTGTAGAATGGCAGAATGGTTTGAGTGTAGTTTTAGATGGGAAGATGGCTTACAATATTTCTTTTAATTTGAAATACCAGAATATAAACACATTTATACATAAGAATTCTTAAAAATCTATTTTAGTAACTCGAATGCTAAAAGAAAACCTAGATACCTATTATCTTGTATTTTTGATGTTTTAAAAATTACTTTAGAACTATTTGCTTTTGTTCCTTTTTTGTCAGTCCTATTAATTAAAGCATCTCTTTATGATCTAGAAAGCCACCAGGAAGAACATTAAAGCAGAGGAACAAAAACTGTGATTCAAAAACGGCTTCCACTTCTGAATATGAAAATGACCATGGTAGAAAAATGAAGCACCAACAAAAAGTTAAACAACATGTCATCAAAGGCAGAAATTTAAAACCAGCCCCTCGTAAAAAATCACGAAGTGGAAATTCTAAAGTTAATTTGGTAACCCTTAGAGCTTCTTCACAGGAGGAGGATGAGGAGGATGAGGAGGATGAACTTGAATCAGAATATGAAGTTGAAATTTTTTCACCGGAAGAAGTAAATAAAGCTCCTGTGTTTGTTCCTAAAGGGCTTCGATCTCCAAATCCTGTTCCTATGCACATTGAGGAAACAATGGAAGAGGTATATCGGAAATACCAACTAAAAATGCTTAATTAATGCATCTCATTAGTCTTTTTGTGCCATAGATTCCTTTTAGAGTCAGGTGAAACCTGATAAGACCTTTCTCAGGTAAATGGTAGTTAAAAATTGGTGAAGAAAAGTTGAGCCTGCAGTTTTGGTTGTACGCCATTATGGGTGTTAAGCAAGACATCCACCCAACTGCCTCAGTCACCAACAACAATCTCAAGTCTCTCCATTGTGGTCATCAAGCGACTGCAATGCAGGAATACTTTTGATGGGGAGGTCGCCACTCAGTACCCACACACATGCAGAAATTTGCTGTGGGTTGTAAGACAGCATGTGGGCCTCCTCTATTCCCCCTCCCTCCTATGCCCAGAAGGCCCAGCAGTGTGCAAGCCTCTTATCTCTTTTCCCACTTCCAAGAGGCCTAGCCTTCTTCCTGCCTTGCCAGACTTTCCCTGCAGCTGCTGACAGGCATGGCCAGCCAATACAAAACTCAGCTAGAAAGTTGGGCAAGGCAATCTTCCTCAAGCCTAGAGAGCTAATCTTCCCTACGGCCAGCCCGGAACTGCTGGCTGACTTCCTACCTATGATCCCTTTAAAAACAAGATTATTAGAGCTACTTAAAGAACATGAAAGTTGTAAATCTGTCTGTGAAGACTAGTGGCTTAGTCATTACCCCTAGAACATTAGTAACTGCTCTATGCACCTCTTTCCCCAATTCATTATTTGTATCATCATGTGGGCATACAAGAATGTTAAAAATGCCTTTTAGATAGTGTGTTCACTTTTATATGCTCAGATAGAAACCTGTGCTTTTTCAAACTGAGACTTAATAGAATAATATGTAGAGGCAAGGCAATTCCACAAATGATAATTTTGTGTATTCCAGTATAAGTAAATATAATGGGGACAAAAAAAGACCTTAGAAACATTTTTGTGTGAACTTTACACATGCATAGTTTAATTTATTTATTTTTATTAATCAAATTTATTTGCTACCCATCTCACTGCTCAAGGCAAATGAATGAACAAATCAGATACAGAATGGAGGAGAGTTAATGAATAGAACTGAGTTTTTCTTTAAGAAAAGGGAGGGATGCATGAAGGAACTTCACTCTTTTGAAGAATTGCCTTTCTCTCCTGGACTATTGGTTAAACAAATTATATCTTTTGAGAACATCAGTGAACAGAAGGAAAATAAAACTTGTGTAAATGATTAAAGGATAATTGTTGCCCTGTAAAATTATTGTAATTGCCAATACATTTTAATGTGGAAGCAGCCTTAACATGAATAATTAAGCTGGGAAAAGTAATTGTCAGCGTAAGTGTATTTTGAGTAAACTTGGATTTTATATTTTATAGTTTGCACTTTTATTTCAATGAATAACATTATAGCATATAAAAAGAGAATCAACTAAATTGTTTTGGACAATTAAAATAATTGTTGTGTTTTTCTCCATGACAGCTGGAGATATATGAGAATATTGCAGATGAGCCATGTATCTCTCATGATCTAAATCTGTCTATTCAGCCTGTGATGCAAAATGATAGCAAATTGTACACCCCAACAGTTGTAAGTATTTTTACTTTTATGATGAAACATAAATATGTCTAAGGCAGAATGAGCAATACTGTTGTCTTTCCTTACTGACCATTCATTCAGCAACTGTTAGAAGTTGCAGTGGCACTGAACGAATAGTACTTATGATTGGTCCTCAAAAGTTCTGGTCACCACAGTGCCTTCATGATCATGTGATTGTGATTTGGGCAGTTGGCAACACCTTGGGCTCATGATTATTGCAATTTCCCCTCAGTGAAATGATTGTCTTTTGTGACCTTCCCTGCCAGCTTCCCACAAGCAAGGTCAGTGGGAAAACCGACAGGGAGGATTGCAAGTCATTCTGATAAATTCCCCTGACTTTCCTGTACTCACACCACAGGACCCACTCCCCCAACTTCACATAGACCACAGGTCTCCAACCTTTCCGGCTTTGTCAACTAGTGGGGTGGGAGAGGGATGTGTGTGCAGCTCCATTTACAGAAGCGGAGAGTGCACATGCGCGCCCACCACTCATGTAAATGGAGCTGCATGGTGCTGTTCTGAATGGGATGTGGCCTGGTNTGTTTCTGTGAGTGCCAGATCCTGGTTCTCCTTAATTTCTGGTTGAAATTGATTTATCAGACACCTTATTAAATCAACCTGGCTAAAAAAAAAAAAAACAAAAAAAAAACCAAAAAAAAAACTAATAACAAGCTCTACTCCTTTGGATTTTATTTGGAAAGTCTTGTCCTTTAGGATTTCAAAATGCCAAGAAATAACAATATACCTGGGATATTGATTTTCAGATGGGTTTAAGCCTATTATCCAACTCTGCAGTATATGGATTCTTCTCAAATGGGCAGGTGCCATCATTATATCTTTCTTGAATTCTAATTTGGAAAGTTTGTGGACTTTCACCTTGGCCAAGTTGGATGTACTAACTTCTACAGTTCTCTGGTGGCAATATAAAAACATCTGTTTTCAGTGGTGTTACATAAATACAAACACAAGATGGAGATGGTTCTATGGAATCTCTAAGCTGAATGCTCCTTTGTTGCTCTCTTGGGAAGCAAGGAAGATCTACATTTATCCCATTTTAAAGAACTTCCCTAGTAGAGAACACAATATCTGTCTCTTGCTGCTTTTATCTGACCAGGATTCTGATGCATCTATCCAGGTTGCCTGTTTTTGTGCCATCACTCGTATCTGTCCTATCTACAATGGACGTTTAGTACAAATTTTGGTGATTGCCACTGTTATTTTTACTCCTGTTACTACAATAACACATTTTATGTAATTTTATTAAATTTATTAATAATTACAGGTCTGTATATTTAGTGTTGTGCTCTCTGGCACAAAGGTCCTAATAAAGGTTTTGTTCGATTTCAACATAACTCTTACACGAGTAGCATATTTTTAGGGTCACACCAAATCTGAACAAAGTCATTGCTTACTGAATCTAATGAGATGTTGTGCTTCAACAAATTCCAAAACATTTTTTCTAAAGCATTTTCAAAGCATCAGCCCTACTATGTGTGCTTTGTTTAAATCCAAACTGAAGATTAGATGAGAATTAAGTACAATAATGACTAGAAAATCAATACAATTTACTATTCTATTAGATATCAGCATGCCAGTTAAAAATCAATACAAAAATGGACATATGTTTCCTAACATTGCCTTATCCTGTTTAGTGATCATATGGTTATTATCCGTTAGAAATTCTGTCAGTAATACTTTTGGTTAATTGCTATGTCTTCTCATTTTGATTTTCCTTTAGCAAACAGAAGTCACTGGAAGAAAGCAAGCAGAGTGATACTCGATCCTCACCATTTCTCAGAGGCAGGTTCCAGAGACCTAAACCTAACTTAGGAGGAACAATTGGAAGGAAAGAAAAGAGATCCCTGGAAGGAAATGGATTAACAACCATTGGAAATCTGGAACTACAAACATCTGAACCTACCAAAACGCCATCAACGGTATTAAGTCAAAGAAAATTTGGTTTAGGTTGTCTGTATTTTCTGTAGAAATCTTGAATGTTTGGAATCCAATATAAATGGGGTTTCTGTATTGCCACAATTATTCCTTGATATTCAGCATATCACTGCTGAAACTGTTTCTCAGTTTAAGATTGAAACTTTTAACTTTCAGACTCAGATCAACGCTAAAGTATTATCTGATGAAAATTTGGAGATTAGACTAGAAAACTCCGAGAAAGTAATTCAGAAAGACTCTTCAGTGCCTAGTACTTGTCAGAATAGTTCCAATCTACGTCTCAGGTATGTTCTCAAATGTGACTTTTGTTTTATGATCTATGCTAGTAAACCTAAATATATAATTAAAATAATTAGATGTTGCTTTTATGAATTTACACTTTTAAAAAATATGGCACTCTTACTTCCCAACCATGTGGTGTTTTCATGTGCAAATATTTTTTCTTTCCTTTTCTGACCTTCATGAACAATTTACAAGATCACTGAAGTGGAATAGAAAGTGATAGAAAACCTTTAGTGATAGAAACAAACACATGGAAAAGAAAAACAGAAAAAGGAGGCATATTTTAGGAGATGGGGCTGTGGAACTATACATATGAATCATATACCAGACGATAACATTTTAGGATTTGTTAATTTTGTACATTCTTACACATATGCTAGTTTGGAAGTTTGAAATTTGCCTTTCAGTTTTGGATTTAGCTTGTTGGATCAGTTATTCTCTTTCTCTTTGAGAAAGGCAAGCAGGAAATGGTTGTATTTTGTTTGGTAGACTACCTTATTTAATCTTCCCCAGGGTAATAGCTGAAGAAAAAAATATTTTATTATTTCAGAATAAAACACTGAAGGCAAGTGTTCATAATTAATTATTCCCCAACAATAAAAACTCACCTTGGCTTTAGTACCTAACATCATACCCTGCATTCACATAGCATGCTGTAAAGTAATGATTTTTTTTTATCAAGCTACTATCCTGCTACAATCATGGCATTCTTGGTAGCTCACACAAATAAGAATATATAATAAAATATAACCGATACAGTGAATGTCATTGGGCCCCAAAGTCTCATGGAAAAGCAGAAATAGAGTTCATCTTCAGTTATTTTGAAGAAGAGTTTCTAATGAACATTTGACAAGTCGGCAAGCAGAAGAAAGAATTCTTAAGAATAAATTTCCTAACAACATACAAATGCCTGTTTTAAATATCTGTTAACTCAATTTGGTGCTTTCCATCTTTGGTTGATAGAGAGAAATCCAATTTCCAAGGGAATAAGTCATCTACAATCAAGCCTGCTCAGTTGGTAAGAGGGCGATTCCAGAGAGCCAAATTTAATGTTGGAAGGACCAATTGCAAAAAGGAAGTACCTGTGTCAGAAGACATTAGTGTTCCAATTGTGGAAGAAGTAAAAGAGATGGAGATTAGCAAGAAAGATGGTCTATATCTAATTTCAGAGGTTAGCTATCTACTCAATTTATTGAAACTTTTTCAGAACTATTTAACAAATATTTATTTACCGTATTTTTCGGAGTATAAGACGCACCTTTTTCTCTCAGAAATGAGGCTGAAAATTTGGGTGTGTCTTATACACTGAATACAGCCTTTTTTTGCCTCCTGAAACCCAGCCCCTTCACCAAAATGTAGGAAGCTTTTAAAGAGCTCCTGGGGACTGGTGGGGGGGAAATTAGCAAAAAATGGCCCATTTTTTGCCCCCTCCCCGGGAGCACTCTGCAAGCTTCCTTAAGGCTATTCATGCCTTTTTGGCGGGCGGGAGGGGGGAACAGCCCGTTTTTGGGAGGTTTGCAGAGTGCAAAAACTTTTTAAAAAATTTTCCTCTTCAAAACCTTGCTGCGTCTTATACTCCAGTCCATCTTATACTCCAAAAAAATACAATATATTCTGTCCTGTGCTTTTGTTTGTCCATCTTATCTGATGAAGAAGCAGGTATATTGAAAATGCAGCTGCTAGAGTTTTAATAGTGTGTATTTGTGTATAATGTATGTATGTGTGTATGTATTTATGTATGTATGTATGTATGTATGTATATGTATGTATGTATGTATGTATATAAATACTGATAAAAACAGGATATACTTTTATCTTTAATCTTTATTAAATATTTGATATATTTAAGATATTTATTATAAAATAAAATATAAAGCATGGTAAACCAAAATAGTACATTTGAAATTAACTAGAGTAAAGATTTGAAAATCTTCCCTGGTTCAGCCAATAGTGCTAAATATAGTTCATCAGAAGATGGTGTAGAGTGGTATAGGGTTTCCTGCCCAGGCAGGGGGTTGGACTACAAGACCTCCAAAGTCCCTTTCAACTCTGTTATTCTATTCTCTATGAGATGAAAGCTTTCGTGCACCTTGTTGCTACTGGGTAGTGGAATTGTGGGCCTGTATGGAGGCCACAGTTTAAGTCTCACTAAACCATAAATTATTGTGATTTCCAGATGCAACCATGGCTGTCCCACATCTCATAAAAAGAAATCATGCAGCTAATGTTTGAGTTTCAATTAAAATATTCTTATATTTTTAGTAAAATAAAAATTAGACATCACTAAGTACATCATTGTTGTTACAATATCTTACCAATTTACATAGGATATAAACTACAAATCTGGAGAAATCATGTCAACTATCACAATAGGCAATATCAATATTCTAAATTCTGAATTTTAATTTGAAAGTGTTTTAGTTGTGCTCTGATAAATAATTGGCATGTACAAATTTTCTTCAACATCAAGGATGAAGTCATTGTCCAGACATCCCCAGGTAATTTAGATAGAAAAGAAGGATCAGAATCTATTGAAAGCTCATCAAAAACTTGGACTGATCAGAAGAAACATCCTTCTGATAAATCACTGGAATGTGGTCTTCTGAAAAACCAAGATGCCATTAAAAGAAAACATTTGGATGCTTTTGAAAGGTAAAACAGTTTTCAATAAATATTGTAAATGAAAACTTTCCTGAGATCCTAGTACAAACTTTATTTTCTGTATAATATGGCATAATATTTTCATTAGTTTTCTACACCAAATTTTTTTTGCTTTTTCCTTGTCTGTCTTTTTTGAATCGACTGAATAAACTTGACTGTTTTTTCATTTGTGGAAAAAAGCATGATTTAGGCAACAAATAGTTGTAAATATGTTTTCAGTTTCAAAACCGGTATGATCTCAATGGTTTTGCTTACTTTTGTTTTTAGTGATACTTGTGACCCTCAAGAAATACATCATTCAGAAAACAAAAATACAGCCCAGCTCATGATAGATCACCTGCAGAAGGAAAAGCCAAATGTGGCACAAGTTCCTAAAAACGCAGAATTCTCCTTAGAAAGAGAAAATAGCAAAGAAGATACAGGAAGAGATGCAGAATGTGATACCTCGTATGGCAGCAAATTTGGAAAAACAGCTCAGTTAATGGTAAGCATAGTTTAATCATCCTAAATCATCACTTGATTAATGTTTTTTATGAGTACTGCATTTGCCAATACAAAATACTTGTTGAATCTTTATTTCCTTAGAAACTGAGAGCAGCTCATGAGCAGATTTCATACAAGAAATATTATAAAAATTGTATTTAAATACCATACATATATACCGCATGGAGTATATTTAAGTAAAATACATACTGGATTATACTGATTTTCTGGTATTAGTGGAACGCACTTCTATTTTTCTGATTTCCTTTTACAAATCATTTTCCTTGTATATAGATGCAGCCTTCCTTACTGCAATTGATTTTAAGGGCTGTAAAATTGCAGAAGGCGGCAGCAGCAGAAAATATGCTGTGCGATGCAGCCCACTGAAAGGTTCCAATGATGTTCCTTAAGACTATTTGAAAAAATAAATAGATACAGGGAGTCATAAACATACGACCATAATTGAATCCAAAACTTATGTTGCTGAGTAAGACATTTGTTAAGTGAGTTTTGCCTCATTTTACAACTTTTCTTGCCACAGTTGTTAAGTGAATCACTGCAGTTGTTAATAACCTGGTTGTTAAGTGAATCTGGCTTCCCCATTGCCTTTGCTTGTCAGAAGGTTGCAAAAGCTGTTCACATGATCAGGGACCACTGCAACTGTCATAAATAAGAACCAGTTGCCAAGCATCCAAACCTTGGTCACGTGACCACGAGAATGCTACAATGGTCATAAGTGTGAAAAGTGGTCATAAGTCACTTTTTCCAGTGCTGATGTAATGTCAAACGGTCACTAAATGAATTGTTGTGAGTTAAGGACTTTCTGCATAGATAAGGCAATGGG